AGGCAAATGAAATGGTCTTCATTGAGATGGATCATGAAGGAATGTGTTAAGCAGCTGCATGATGTTGCATAGAAGATGTAACTGATGTAGAATTAAAGGATGGTGCCATGATCTGTGCCACTTGCTGAGGCTTTATGTAGCTATGTACTGCCAAATTTATCTCAAATTATATTCAGCTGATACTGTCATAAATATTTGCAAGTCTCTGAAGGTTTCTGTATGGTGCTGATGAGAGTAGCAATCTTATGGACCTAATGCAACACAAAATGGGTTTCACTTGCACTCGCCAGACCTCATCAGGGGTCAATGCTGATTTGTGGTTTGGGTCGTGAGAGTCAGTGCTGATTTGTGGTTTGGGTCGTGAGTTTGTGGTGGGTTCTCTTGGTGTGGGGGATGATGATGTGTCTGTTCTTGACATGGTGCTACTCAGATCTTTCTTAATTTAGAAGACAAGTATTGTAGGGAAAACTACAAATAACAAAGTAATTTGTGTCAAATGAAGAGAGACTGTTCTAGAAACCAGCTGTGATCATGTGCTAGGCTACAGTCATTTGAGCAACATGCATTTGAACATGGTTCAGTGGAAAGTCACAGCTAGGAGCTATGAATATAGGTCACTCAGGAGACTGTATTTTGGAAAGCATTGACTCAGAAAATGATTTGGAACTCTGATGTGTTACCAGTTGAGCATGAAATTGCAGTACAATGCAGTGGCTTATGGAATAAATGCTATCTTTGGGTAGCTTAGCAGGTTTATGTTATTACCACTATACAGTATTAGAGGGACAATTACAGGAATAATATGTCCTGTTCTGGGGACTGTTTTTAAAATCACCACTGCCAAGCTGGAAAGGTAATAGGACAGCCAGAGAATGGCTATAGCTCTGGCTAGCATAACTTGCTGAAACTAAAGAACCAGGTGTGTGATTAGAGCTTACACTTCTGTTGTGTAAGATGTTTGAAAGAAAACTTTTATCTAGCAGGAAGAGATCATTGGATTCAGTAGCTGAAAATAAACTAGACAGATGTTTTTAGCAAACAGTTGGCTTTTGTTTGGTTGTTCTGTGGTTTTGGGTTCTTTTAAACTGAGGGTGTAGGAATTAACTTGATTGGAAATGTGTTGGGTTTTTCTAATGAGTTGCCTTCCAAGCCTTGGTGCTCTTTGAAATGAGATGTCTAGCTCAGCCAGAAGTTATGGACTTGGTGAAATTTCATGGGCTGCATTATAGGAAAGAATGAGCTAAATAATCACAGGGATCCCTTTGAGAGATGCAGCTAGTGAGTGAGGAAAGAAGGAGAGAAAGCTGGAAAGAGTTACTGTGGTGGGAGGTTGAGTCAGTCCTGTGACCACAGATGGCCTGGGGACCTGTTAAGGGGTCCCATCCTTCCTCAGGGTCCAGGCTCAGCTAGAAAAAATGAGGAGACTGTACAACACTTGCATAAGGGATGATGGGGCACCACGGGTGCAGTGGGAAGAGACCAAACTCCGTGCACCTGGGATCTGTTATCATCACTTCTCTTTCAGTTTTGACCCTGGAAAACTTTGTTTGCTCACATGCTTCTTACCCATTGCTTGTTACCGTTGCCCCCTGCTTTCCCTCCTCCCCTTCATCTTGGCTTGCCCTTGCTCCTATTGCTTTTGTCTCACACCAGAGTGCCAGCTCTCAGTTTGTCCATCAGGCTCTGCTTCTGTTGTCTGTTTATGCTACATGAAGACCCGTGTCTTGGCCTGGCTTGAAATGTGCCTTACTGGAAAAAAAACAAACCTAAAGGCTTTGAATCATTCTTTAGAAATCGGTGTTAAGGAATTATGTAGAACAGTTCATAGAAAAATTATAAAAACCACATACAATTCCTGAAGTTTACCATCTTTTGTAAAGCAAACTGTTTTTCCATGAGGGTATAGCTGGTAGTAGTACGCAAGGTAAAATAGAAAACTAGAGGGGGGTTACACGTGTGTTGTGTGTATATGAGAGGACTCTGGTCAAAATGACTGGCTACAGTCCAGTGAGATAAGAAGAGCCAGATGGGCTACAAATGCTACGGTAGGAAATGCGGCTGGAGCAAGGCACATCAATAGTCAGTTTGTTTTTGAAGGCCTGACGAGAACAGACTTGATACATGACCTTTTTTGCCTTTTTTTATGTAATAATTGCAATGGTGTACCATATAAATGTTACGACTCCAAAGTTCATGTTTCCACCAAGCTTTAGTTTCAGTGACAGGCTTTACTGCCTCTTACCCTTCACCGTACACCCTTCCGTGGCCTTCACCGAAGTCGGATGGATATCAGAGCTTGGTGTTTGTGCTTTAAAAAGCAAACAGCCCCTCCAAGTCCGATAGAGGAATCGGGACTCTAGCGAATAGGATAAATTCAACGTTTCTCTGCTGTTACTGATGTCTGTCGTGAATTAAATCTGCATGTTCCCTGGTGGTAAGTTTGGCTCTGAATGCCAAGGGCGTGCAGGTGGGCTGTTCTACCGGCGGGCTGGGTGCTGCCATTTACACTGCTCAATTACAGTACGAGGCCGAGGGAGCGCTCTCTCCTTTGGTAGTCCCCTACACACACAGCTGCCAGTCTCGCTGCAGCCTGAGCTGTTCCCTGCTTCTGAGAGATCAGGATCGTGTCTCCTAAAAGGCTTGTCAGGGTTTGATCAATGCTTTCTATTTTCTTTTTAATGAAACCTGCTAGTTTGTCTTCATTTGCCAAATGGGATACGCGTTTCATGAAAGCAAACGGAACAGTGTGGTGTTTGGTTTAGAAAACTCCTCAAGCTTTGCCTTTCATCAGATGGTGTTGACTGCTTTGTGCTTGTCATTAGGTACTTTTGTATTATTTTTGGTTTTGGTTTGAAGTTGTATGAATAGTAATTCCTGAATCTATTCTTCTGAAATGAACCCGACTTTGTTTATTAACTTAGTCTAAAACTCCTAAGAGGAAACACTCAAACACCCATGCCCTTTGTAGCTTGATCAGAACCTCTTTTAATGTTCTTCCACACAGAGGTTTGTCTTTGACCTGTGGGATTTATTCCCATTGCTCTGCACTGCTGGAGTAGCTAGTTGTCCTATTAGCACAACATAACCTGTTGTGTGGGTTACTTCATCATTATTTTATATCGCAAAGTAAATTAAATTAATGGGGGATATATATATATTTTTTAATTAACTAAAAAATGAACTAACCTGAGATGATAAGTTTCTAATGCTTGTGACTAACATTGCTCACAATCTTTTTTGTAACACATGTTTTCCCTGATGGGATTACTTAGAAAATCTTCAGGTCTTGAAGTATGTAGCCTATACCTGTGAAGCATCTGGAAAAAATTAAATACAGCTTGCTGGCTCAGAGTGTCTTAATCTTAAATGGGAGATAAGCAGAACTTGGCTTTTGTACTGGTTCTGAAATTTTGGTCAGGAAACACTTTTGTAGGTATCTTGCCCTGCCGTCTTGTAGTTACCTGAACCTTTTGGGAGAGAGTTGGTTTGTTACCTCTGTTCCCTGGTATATGTCTTGCCCTTACAGCTTTTCTCATGTTTTCCCAGGCTGTGAAGCATTTTTCCTGTATCTAAGTCTCAAACCCTATTGCAGGGTGGATGGCTTACAGGGAGAACTGCATGCCAGAACTGTAGGTAGACCCCACTGTAAACAATCAAATTCAGCACAGAGTGTGGGAATCCGCTAATAATGCATTATAGTAACAATGAAACTTAGAACAACAGTAAATATCTCCCCACTGCAATTTGTAAATTGTTTCTTCGGGTTTGCTACTCACTTATTTTACTACCTCTTCCACCTCCTGCCACACCATTTCAGAAGCACTATGTAATATAATAAATGGCAATTCATCAGTTATTTAAGTTAGCATCGCTGTTATTCTAGTTGAAAAGTTTCCGGGTAGTCTGTTTTGCATTCC